CTTACGGCACTGACCATTGACTATAGAGGTTACACTATATCCACAATAACGACCTGGGTTGCCCCATTTGAACTGTACGTGGCCGGCATGATTGCGAGCAATCTCAGCACTGTCATATATCCCATCATCCTAGGTTATCCATCATTCTACTTCCGCCAGAACATGCGCAGAATTTTGCTTTGCAGAAGTACTACTGTTGTCCCTGAGCACTGAACTTGACAGTACGTACAATACGCCCGTTGTAAATGAAAAGAATAATTGTTACGCCAATCTCAACTATGAATCTGACTCCCATGTCACACGTCGGTGTCTCAGATCAATAAATGTTTTCAAGGTAGATTCGTACATTTTTTAACAGTGTGAATTACTTTTGATGCCGCTTTGACATAATGTCAGTTGTAACGCGGGAAGTATTCACAAAGTGACTCAGCTCATCGCCACACATAAAGATGGTGTTGACAAACCAAGGAATACATTCAGGGCAAAACCTGGGATGCGAGCCAACGAGCAGTGACTTCAGCGCAACTAAACTGCCTGGAAAAAGAAAGTATACGCCTTAGAATTGGATTTGACCAAATAATTACAAACTTTTTCAAAGCGTTTCTAGGCTGGAAACAGTCACAGAAATACTGCAAACCTAAGGTCCAAAACGCTACTATCAAATATATCACCATCGAATAACCATTTCTTGTTTGTTTCATTTTTAGCCACCATCAAACATGGGTTTATACTGTCTTTTACATGGAATTTTTGTGGACACAGAGCAAGAACAGAATAAATACAAGCATGAGATAGATTAAGAAATGCATGATGTGTCAATGAGATACAAATAAACAAATTAGCCTATAAGCTACGTGGAATTAATAATTATATGACACATGTCAAAGACGTACGAAGGATTTAACTTTAAAGGCTTTCTATCACAAGGAACAGCTCATCCGAAATTTATAATGTATATGCAAAAGCCACTTTCATCTTACAAATAGAAATTAATGACAAACGTGCCCACAGGGATACTGATTTCACCCTAATGTTCTAAGGCTGGGGTGGGGTGATAAGGGTAGTAGAACGTGGGATGTGGTTCTTGGTACACAGATTTCACCCTATGTTCTAAGGTTGGGGTGGGGTGATTAGGGTAGTAGGACATGGGATGTGGTTCTTGGTACACTGATATCATCCCAATGTTCTCAGATTGGGGTGGGGTGATTAGGGTAGTAGGACGTGGGACGTGGTTCTTGGTACACTGATATCATCCCAATGTTCTAAGGTTGGGGTGGGGTGATTAGGGTAGTAGGACGTGGGATGTGGTTCCTGGTACACTGATATCATCCCAATGTTCTAAGGTTGGGATGGGTGATTAGGGTAGTAGGACGTGGGATGTGGTTCTTGGTACACTGATATCATCCCAATGTTCTAAGATTGGGGTGGGGTGATTAGGGTAGTAGGATGTGGGATGTGGTTTTTGGTACACTGATATCATCCCAATGTTCTAAGGTTGGGGTGGGGTGATTAGGGTAGTAGGACGTGGGATGTGGTTCCTCGTACACAGATTTCACCCTATGTTCTCAGGTGGGGTTGGGGTGATTAGGGTAGAAGGACATGGGATGTGGTTCTTGGTACACTGATATCATCCCAATGTTCTAAGATTGGGGTGGGGTGATAAGGGTAGTAGGACGTGGGATGTGGTTCTTGGTACACTGATATCATCCCAATGTTCTAAGATTGGGGTGGGGTGATTAGGGTAGTAGGATGTGGGATGTGGTTTTTGGTACACTGATAACATCCCAATGTTCTAAGGTTGGGGTGGGGTGATTAGGGTAGTAGGACGTGGGATGTGGTTCTTAGTACACAGATTTCACCCTATGTTCTAAGGATGGGGTGGGGTGATTAGGGTAGTAGGACATGGGATGTGGTTCTTGGTACACAGATTTCACCCTATGTTCTAAGGATGGGGTGGGGTGATTAGGGTAGTAGGACAAGGGATGTGGTTCTTGTTACACTGATATCATCCCAATGTTCTAAGGTTGGGGTGGGGTGATTAGGGTAGTAGGACGTGGGATGTGGTTCTTAGTACACAGATTTCACCCTATGTTCTAAGGATGGGGTGGGGTGATTAGGGTAGTAGGACATGGGATGTGGTTCTTGGTACACAGATTTCACCCTATGTTCTAAGGATGGGGTGGGGTGATGAGGGTAGTAGGACGTGGGATGTGGTTCTTGGTACACTGATATCATCCCAATGTTCTAAGGTTGGGGTGGGGTGATTAGGGTAGTAGGACGTGGGATGTGGTTCTTGGTTCACTGATATCATCCCAATGTTCTAAGGTTGGGGTGGGGTGATTAGGGTAGTGGGACGTGGGATGTGGTTCTTGGTTCACTGATATCATCCCAATGTTCTAAGGTTGAGATGGGATGATTAGGGTAGTAGGATGTGGGATGTGGTTCTTGGTACACTGATTCATCCCAATGTTCTAAGGTCGGGGTGGGGTGATTAGGGTAGTAGGACGTGGGATGTGGTTTCGAGGACACTGAATTCATCCAAATCGCCATGATACACTGGGATGTGGTTTTTGGTACACTGATTCATCCCAATGTTCAAAGATTGGGGTGGGGTGATTAGGGTAGTAGGATGTGGGATGTGGTTCTTGGTACACTGATTCATCCCAATGTTCTAAGGTCGGGGTGGGGTGATTAGGGTAGTAGGACGTGGGATGTGGTTTCGAGGACACTGAATTCATCTAAATCGCCATGATACACTGGGATGTGGTTTTTGGTACACTGATTCATCCCAATGTTCAAAGATTGGGGTGGGGTGATTAGGGTAGTAGGACGTGGGATGTGGTTCTTGGTTCACTGATATCATCCCAATGTTCAAAGATTGGGGTGGGGTGATTAGGGTAGTAGGATGTGGGATGTGGTTCTTGGTACACTGATTCATCCCAATGTTCTAAGGTCGGGGTGGGGTGATTAGGGTAGTAGGACGTGGGATGTGGTTTCGAGGACACTGAATTCATCCAAACCGCCATGATACATCGCCATGATACATAACATTCGTCACCATTACGCATTGATAACAGCCATCTCTATAATAGAAACACAGAGACATCACCATGATACAATGATACCCTTGTTATCACCATGATACAATTGTTATATGTGCTGATGTATGTTTGAATATGGGGTGCATACTTTACCTGTTAATCAGTATGTTAGGTTCAATTGGACATGACTTGAGGTGAGGGGATTTCAGTTATGTGACTTGCTTGTAACGTAATTGAATGTACAGCTTGTGATCTGATTGATTCAAGCAAGTAGCTGTTGTGTTTTTAGTGAAAGTAAGTGGCCTATCGGCAAAGCTTTTAAAACACTTGTGATTGTTGTAGAAGGGCATTGGTGTTTGTAATTCGCTGGTGAAACAGCCTTATTTGTTGCAACCGTTGCAATCATACCCCTGGTGACTATGACTTTGTGTTTTAATAATACCATATTGCTTTGCCGACATTATTGCTAGGTTGCCCTTTGTTATTATTATGTAAGCCTGTAGAATTAATAAACTCTTCTTAACTGCAGTTAGATTCTTGTATAATCCATTTTAATTGTGCGAGTGGTTTTGAGGTGTACCCCTTTGCTTCACCATCACTCGTAACACAACGACAACATAATCATCACCATGATACAACGATAACGTAATCATCAACATGATACAAAGGTAGCATTATTATCACCATGATACAGTTATAACAGTCGTCACCATGAGACAATGACAAATACGTCATCACCATGATACAGTGATAACAGTCGTCACCATGATACAATAACTATATTATCACCAGTATACAGTGATAAGAGTCATCACCATGATACAGTGATAACATTATTATCACCATGATGCAGTGATAACATTAATATCACCACGATACAGTGATAACAATATTATCACCATGATACAGTGATAAGAGTCATCACCATGATACGATGACAACATGGTCATCACCATGATACAGTGATAACAGTCATCACCATGATACAATGACAACATAATCATCACCCTGATACAAAGATAACATTATTATCACCAGGATACCGTGATAAGAGTCATCACCATGATACGATGACAACATGGTCATCACCATGATACAGTGATAACAGTCATCACCATGATACAGTGACAACATAATCATCACCCTGATACAAAGATAACATTATTATCACCAGGAAACAGTGATATGAGTCATCACCATGATACAATATCATTATTATCACCAAGATACAGTGATAAGAGTCACCACCATGACACATTGCTGACACAATAAGCATCATGGTAGAATGGTACCATAATACTCACCATTATACAATGATAACAGTCATCACCGTGATACAATAACAACATAGTCATCACCATGATACAATGATAATATTATCATCACCAGGATACAGTGCTTAGAGTCATCACCAAAATACACTGATAGCATCATGGTACAATGATACCATAACTATAACCGTGATGCAATGATAACAGTCATCATCGCGATACAATGCTAACATTATGTTATCACTGTACATAGTTATCATACAATGATATCATAGTCATCACCACGATGCAGTGATAACATTGTTATCACCACGATACAATGACATTAATTGAGCCATGTTAAAATCGGGTTTGTTCCTCACGAATGGTACCCGTGAAGATTCCGGGGTGGAATAGGTCTTCAGCAACCCATGCTTGCAAAAAGGCGACTATGCTTGTCGTAAAAGGCGACTAACAGGATCAGGTGGTCAGGCCCGCTGACTTGGTTTATGCATGTCATCGATCCCAATTGCGTGGATCGATGCTCATGATATTAATCACTTGATTGTCTGGTCCAGACTCGATTATTTACAGACCGCCGTCATATAGCTGGAATATTGCTGAGTGCGGCGTTAAACAACAAACCAACCAACTAACCAACCAACCTCACGAATGGTACCCTTCGTGTGAATAGTAACAGACAATGTGATTAATTGGAATGTGATTTTATTCACTGTCATATTTACACTCAATATACATGTTCGGTTATAATGTGAGTTGTACAGGTGGTATACCTATATACATTTGTACATGCCAATGTTGATACGGAGGGTATGGAGAATATGGACAGATAATATACAACTTGTCATGCCTTAAGGTCGAGTGGGGAATCTTGGTGCGAATTTTAACATTATCGGGAACGTAAATCAGAGAACAGAATAAACAGCAGGAATGGGACACACGTGTTAAAGGCACTGACAAGTAATGTGAAGTAAGGGTTCGTTTCATTCCATAGAATCGGCTTCCTTTAAGTGGGGAATGAAATCATGTCTTCTAGCCAGATCAGGTGATGCTGAGGGTGCACCTGAAGGACGCTGCAGTTGCAGCAGTTGAGCATCGTGTGAGGAGGGGAAGAGATGGAAACGATTCGTAGATAAAAGCGAGCCCGTAGTGACAATGTACATGAATGGACGAAATGGTACAACGAGGGAATAAATAATCATCTTCGAGCATATTCCTGGTCAACTATGTTACAGGGAAATACTTCATTTGTGTATGGATGAGTATCTGTACATGAGATCGTGAAATACATTCATCAATATAATAAATATCCTTTGTTACAGTGGAGATTATAGTTGATCGAATACTGATAAGAACACTTTTGATAAATTAGGTCGAAAAATAATACGTTTCGAAAGTTTGGATTTTGAAATTAGAAATTAGCAGGAAAGTTACACCCAACATTCTACACTGTTGGCGTGGTTACATATTTTCAAGTTCTCGTCAAATCTCGTTCCGGCGGGGCAGTCCATCTTGATTGGTCCGTAGTCAAGCCACGCTCCGGGCAGACACATGATGAAACGTTCACAGGAAGCGGGATCAGTGAACATTCCAACTCCAAGCTGTTTGCAGTCGGTGCTTCCAGCTGGAAATAAATAACACTGGTTTAGTCATCGTAGTTAAATGGGTGAGTGAGTTTGATTAAGGACCTCTTTGAACAGTAGAATTACAGTTATATCACTGTGTGTCAGCTTGGTGTGGGATGAAAGACAGAAGTGATGTAGGTATGAGGCTTTTACCACTTTCGTGAAATCTAGAATGGATGTGGTGCTGACAAACCTAGACACACAGTCAGGCCGAGCCAGGATTCGAAACCAAAATCATCTTTCTGGCACGCCTAATGGGCGAAACCCTGCAGATTTAAGTGAGGTGAGGTTAGGTGAGGTGAAATGGGGTTTAACGTCGCGTTCATGATTTTTCCACTTATATAGCGACGAATGCTCATGTCCGGATTACAGCCGATTTCATAGTGCTAGCCCACTGAGATACCATGTCGCAGTTTAGCATGAATGCCCCACTCAGACACAGTATACTGACACCGAGCGGACCAGTCCTTGTTTTAGCCCCTTAATGCCGAGCGCATGTTCCATCTTTTAACGTCTTTTGGGATCGAACCCCGGACCATCCGCTATCCAGGCAGACGCTTTACCCTTAGACCACGGAGGCGGTCGCAGATTTTAAGTAATTTTCATTTCGATGAATTAATTTAAATTTTCGTTACCATAGACCAACACGTCTTTCACGGTCTAACGAACATTATTCATGATGCTGATTATGAGAATGATGATTTTGGAGATGTTACAAGCGCTCCCGGTTGAACTGATTTCGCACTCGGTAGACGCTTGTATAACATTTGTATGTGCCGAACTGAGATGCTACATTTTGGAAGACGTGATTGTGAAATGTGTATTTCATGTTTTACTGTTACTATAGTTACCTGCTGATGGTTGTCTTGTGCCAGGTTTCTGCCAGGGGCTCTGTTTAGGTGAGTGGGTCGTGGAGTCATGTTTTGGCATGCTTGGCCTTCCTGTGGGACGAGCGTTCCAGTGCTTGGGGGTGGTCTCGACCTTTTCCCAACTCCTATCCGATTTCTTCCAGTCGTTCTTGGGCTTCCATGTTGGCTTGGCCTTCCATGTTGGTTTTGGCTTCCATGTTGGTTTGGGCTTCCATGTTGGCTTTGACCTCCAGGAAGGCTTGTTGGTAGGTTTAGCCCAAGGAGACTTGCTTCTGGGTTTGTCGGCACCCGCGGGTCTTCTGGTCCACTGGGGTTTGGGCTGGGCAATGGGGGTAGGCTTAGGGGTGGGCTTCCATCGGGGGACGGTTGCTGAATCAGCGGTGTTAGCCCTGCGTCCATTGTAAGGTTTCAAGATCTTGGTGATGGTGCCGAGAAGAGGATAGCGTCCATTGCCGCAGCTTCCCTTGAAGTCATCCATCTCAACAGACCACACGAAAGCACCGCCAAGATCACGCTTGATAATGTTGTCAGCCTGAAAAATGAGACACAAGCAGAATATGAAACTTTACTATTCAACATCTTTTTCGTTTGTTACTTATAAATGCATTTAGTTGCCTCGAAATTGATAGGTGGTCACTTTGTGGCACTGTTTTGGACACATCAGAAAAGAACGGGGTATTAAGTGGGAGTGAGTATGTGTTGTTTTATGGCCCATTAAGCAATATTCCAGCAATATCACGTCGGGGGACACCAGAAATGGGTTTCACACATTCTTTAGTGGGAAATGATTTGAATAAGATATTAACCTTCAGTTTGATGCTGTCCGGGGTCTCGAATCCCACCCACTGGTCACCGCCGTAAGCATATGGGACACCCTGGTCATCAATCCACTCAGTCTTCCAGCCCTCGCGGTTGATACTTTCGCAGATCTCATAGTAAGAGAGGATGCCGGTCTCACTGGTGTACTTGCCCATCCTGCCGCCGCCTCTAGCTGGGGCGAACACGCCGTGTTGGTGGGGGTTGGCCAGGGTGAAGCTCATTCCGTAGGTGGGGATTCCAACAATCAGACGGTCTTTGTCCATTCCCATGTTAAGCCAGTAATCAATTGACCATTGCTTAAATACAAAGTTACATTGATGTGAGCAATATGTAGAGCAAGTCATAAATCCGGAAAAAGGAGAAGTAGTAATCTATAAGTACAGATATATGGCGAATAGGGTCAAAGTAATTTCTACTTGCGCCAATCCGGAAAGATAAGAGTTGTGTCCCTTTGTATATATTTTGACAAGCTCCTCCCACCTTTTTACCATCCCTATATCACCAGTGTGCAAGCGGCCACTGCATCCGGAAACTTTGCCTCAAACCCAAGTGAGTGCAATGTATTTTTGTCACGTTGGAATATCATCACACTGGATTGAGAGGTTTCCGATTAAGTTACGGTTTTCCAGATGCATGTATACGTTTGTTTAATCAGATTAGTTCGAGGTTTGCCGATTAACAGAAAAGCACCCAACACCACCCTGACATCACTGTACCAATTACAAAACAGTTGAAATTAAATAGAACTTTAAACTGACCAACAATGAACACTAATTATCTTGGGGAAGAGTATTCGGTGTCGTCATACGTTTGTAAACGTCAGTCAGTTGCGAGTTCAACACAATGCATTGTTGTAGGCTGTGGGGATCTATGACTTTGGTAGTGATAGAGTAGAAATCTCTACGAACGAGCTATCGCTGTAATGAGCTTGATATATTGACGCAAAGGTAATCGTGAAGTGTCCGGCGCCAACTAGTCACGATTGAAGAGGATTCACTGCACATACGTGGTGATTGATTTAAAGCCATCTATGCAATAATAACTCTAGGCTATGTGGACCAGCGTTGCACTTAGAGCGCTACCATCAACACTTTAGATATTGGATCAATAATTAGATACAGTGCCTTTAGTTTAAAGGGAGGGAACCGTACCTGGTGAAGCTCGCTCTTCTCGCCTGGAGGATCATTTCTGTGTTTCCAGAGTCCGCTGTGATGTCCTGTCTGCTTCTCCCATTGGCCGTGGTAGTTGTAGGTCATCAAGAACATGTAGTCGATGTACCTGCAGACAGACGCAGTCGGTCAACATCCCTAGCATACGCTGATAGAAGCGTATGGCGTATGCATCTCCATAATACTCCGCATAATACATCTATACATATATTGTCTCTGAGAAGTCAGATTAGGTGTTTTAGAGACGTTTTAACATTTAACAATTTATAAATGTTTACTATGATATCTTTGAAGGTATTACGATTATTATTTAACAGAACAATACTCACTTGACAAGCTTGTGTGGCTCGTAGGATTGGTCAATGTAGTATGTGCCAGAAGCGGTAGCACATGTCAACAGGAGCTTGTCCTTGCCAGAGTTGTAGGATTCAGCTTTGAAAGCTTCTTGCAGTTCCTATGAACACATGATACTGCTACAGTTTCCTTCTATATCAACAAGGGGCGATGGGTAAAGCGTTCGCTCGTAACATTGAAGGCCCAAGGTTCGAGTGCCCACATGGGCAGCCTATTTCTGGCACCCCAGCCGTGAATATTGTTAAAAGCGGCGTAAAACCGTAATCACTAACGCTATATGAACAACAATCTTGTTTAGTGTACGATGTATACGAATGAAAATGGGGTGATTTGGATTTTGTGAATTTGGTTTTGTACCTTCGAGATGATGATATGATTAACTTAAGCTTTGCTATTTCAGATGATATTCCCCCATGATTAATCATGTTGATATTTATACCAAGCCCCACGGACAGTTCATTGTAAGGCTATTTTACTTCTGTAAATGTGCCATTGTGAATGCTGACATATTGATATACATGTGGGGGAGATTAAACGTACCTTCATGAGCATGGAGAATCTGTATTTGTCTTCAGGGGGGCTACCACGTGTGGCCGGGAATTCCCAGTCCATATCGAAACCATCAAAGTTATGTCTGAAAGAATATTGACATGGAGGTTTGGGATTATTCACGTCGACGCCATAAAGCGTCAAGAATGAATTTATGCTGATATAACGTCAAGTTGCATGTTTTGTAATCTATTATTTAATCAACGGTACACATGTAATTAAAAGTAAAATGTATTGCGAACTTGGATCTCGTCTCCAACTATCGTATTTCCCTACTGTAGCATGTGCCTACAATAGTCTCAAGGCGAAGATCGCATTGTTCAAACGAGCCTAGATTGATTTCGAACGTCGCTTATGTTTTTAACAGTAAAATAAAGATGCAGACATTTTAATGACTTAGATGCCCACTGGTATAAAGGAAAAGAGTGACATACGATCTTAAGTAGTTGACGACGTTCTTCACCCATGTGCGTCTGTTGTGTTCATTACTGATCATAGGGATGAATGGCTTGGAGCCGATTTGCCAGCCACCCACAGCCAGTAGAACCTTCAGGTCTGGGTTCTTGTTCTTCAGGGCGATGGTTCTGGCATAGAGACCTGTAACGAAATGATTGGATTAATTGACGGAATAGATTTCGACTTGTTCTTCTCCCTGGACGTTAAGACTAACATAGATGTTCCAAATAATGCACTGTCGCAGAACCACTGTCATAAAATGATGGGTTAATTGAAGGATATTTGTTCTACTCTTACGTTCAGATTTACACATATGTGTTTCAATAATGCAGTGCCACAGTACAACCGTTGGTATTTAATAATGTGCAACTTTTAAAATGTTATAGTGGGATTCGTCAATATATTCCCTACCCAGCAAAGGCGTATTCTATAAGTTTGTAATGAATATGTCGTTATCAGACTCTTTCACAATCTGGCGTACTCGATGTGATCTGAGTTCAACTTACCGTTGGGTCCCTGGTCGTTCCAGTTAAAAGAGAGAAGGTCCCGTCCATTTGGGGTGATGTCGACGAAGGCATAGATGATATGTGTGCAGAGGTAAGGATCAATATCCTCAGGCAAGAACTTGCCAATACCATTTCTTGTCTGAGCAAAACTGCTGTAGTAGCAAAAAATCTTCTTGTTGCCTGCAATTCAAAATCCAATGTTAAGCAGAGTATACAAGTCTAAAAAGCGATTTTCCAGATAGAAATATACAATTCTTTTATAACAGTTGTCGAAGTAGTCAACGTATTTAGGAGAAATATTTTTAAATAGAAATAAAAAGAATGTTATGAAATAACTTTCGAGTGTTCTTAATTGTCACGAACAATACACTGTAAATTGTGGATGATGATGATTAATATAACTTCATGGACGCGTCACAACTGAACGTACCTTCCACGAGAACCGGAGAGAACACAGCCAGGACTGCCAACAGCCCATACATCTCCCGTATCGTCATTCTCATCCTGCAAGAGAGAAGGAAATACCGTGCAATATTGCAATCCTTGTAGGCAATTCCTGAAATATGCTGAAGTGTCGGCGAATCGCTCTTATATTTAATATCGAACGTGTCTACTCTGAAGTACATATTCTTAAAACCTAATATGTTTAGTGTTCATGACATGCATTAAATGCCCCAGTGAAAAACACATTTGAATCTTTTCGTAATGGGGAGGAATCACGTGCTTTCTTTTTATCAGGAATATACCAAGGTGAAACATGAACACCAAACAGAAGTACCTAACACAGCTACTTATTGTCCTCATTTATATAATCAAAATGTTGTACAAAAAATGAATTATTTATTAGAGTAAACTTGTAGAAATAGGGTAATATTTATATCTCTTTCTAAATAGATAATAATTTGGCACAAAGTATACTTGCAATTGTTTGATGAGGTTAAGTATGATGTGTTAATTTTCTTATGTCAAGTCATGCCAAAACCGATATTCATAAGCTTATTGTATTTGTTCACTCCTGAGGCGTGTAATGCGACTTTAATGAGAAAAGTTTCATGTATGACAACATTAATATAATTATGGCAGGCTAAGCCTTGGTGTGGGCCAGTCACCTGCCACGAAAGGGTTAGGACAACAAACGATGTTGAGCACTGCACGCAGCTACACTAATCTTGAGAGACAAACTCTGCATCCTCAACGCTTAGACATGAGCTTTAAACATTACAACCCTGACCTTTGTTTTCTTTGGAGAGTGAAACATTTCAAGCCCCTTCAAACTGATGTTAAAACCTGTTTGGTCAAATTCCAACCTCCGTCGTTTATCGATTAAACAAGTCTGACGGTACACGTGCTTAGGTGAGAATGCTGCTACCGCACAGAGACATGGGGAGGTATGCCCAGTTTGTTTGGTTAGCTTTGGCAGGGGATAAATGTTTCTTTGCATTCAATCACAAAGTATGATTTTTATATAATTACAAATTCAGGAAAGAATAGTTAGGACATTTTGTATGAAGAATACAATGTCTCCCGCTCTTGATGTTGTTTTAAATTTAAAGTAACAAAAACTAACTAGATAATCAATGTTGTAGGTATGTTAAGCAACAGTATGTCCGATTTTACCAAATATTTATTTACAATTATGACAAAACAATTCATTAAACATATCACTAATAAATCAAAGATCTTATAGATACGAATGGCATGTTCCAAATGGTAATTTGATGGACACATTGCCAAAATGATTTCCTCCCTCATTCAGACGGTAACACGACGGTCAAGTACATTACAACGAGTGAGTGAGTGAGTGAGTGAGTGAGTGAGTATGGTTTTACGCCGCTTTAAGCAATATTCCAGCAATATCACGGCGGGGGACACAAGAAATGGGCTTCACACGTTGTACCCATGTCGGGAATCGAACCCGGGTCTTCGGCGTGACGAGCGAACGCTTTAACCACTAGGCTACCCGACCGCCCCACATTATAACGAAAATACATAGAGCCCCAATGGAAATCCCTTATGCTCACTCAATCAAAGATGGTCAAAGTTTCTCTAATGAAAATAGGTCCTTATGTTCGTTGTTTTAAATGCTCTAAAGCAAATCATTTGTGCTGACTCGAGCAAAGCTTCTTTACGTTTCCCCAATGAAACATGCTCCTAATGTTCTTATGTTAAGTACCGCAGCGCTGATCATCAATGCAGACCCTAGCAAAGATTCAGAAAGTGACTCCAATGAAACTCACTTAGTACATCATGTTAAATGCCCTAGTGCTAATCGCTCATGTTGAATATAGCAAATGCGCAAGCCGTTTTTCCATTGAAACATATTCATTATATTTCTAAAGTTGATGCTCCAGATGCAATCACTGATTCTGACTCTAGCAAAGATACAGAAATGTGCGCGAACAGAACAAATGAACATGTTAAAGGATCTCATGCTAATCACTGATGCTGATTCAAGCAAAGATGTAGAAATTTTCTGCAAAGAAGCTTGCTCTCTTACCTTTGTTGAACAGATAACTCCGGATGGTCTTTGCTGTGCTTGGCTTCTGTCAGAATCCTGTGCAGGTAAAGGTGTTTAAAAGTTGCTCAAGAGAATTGCACTTGGTATAGCACAAGGTATAGAAGCAAGTGCACAGATCCTTGTAGAAGTGATCAGCTTGAAAGGCTGAGCTTGTTCTGCCTTCCACTAGTTCCACCTGCCTATTTATAAGATGATCAGGGGCTTGTTTACTCGAAGGTTCCCCCAACCAAAACCTGCGGGACTCCGGCCAACATCGTGTGTGATTCAACGGAAACAACGTGTATATTTGCCTTAGCTTAGACAAGTATCCGTTTATCGAGTGAGCGAAAGCCCAACAAACACTATTTAACCTTCATGACGAAACTGCTCAATCTTTTATCAATTTTAACCGCTTCTGTTGCAGGTTTTTTTCGCAGGCAAGGAATTCTGACGGCGCTTGAGAGCAAATTCTTCGTTGATTTTACGGAGTCCAGGTCGGTCTTCTATTGGGTCTACTTACCAATTCACCTGTTTCAGAATCATGACGTTTGTTTATTGACTTTGAAATAATTCACGTGTGTTTTCACAGCATACAATTATGCATAAAATTGAAGGATTTCTAGAGTGTACTGAAAATATGCAGAGATAAAACAAACCGACGACCTTGCACGTTTGGTGTTTTACCATTCGCTATAAAATCATTTACAATAATTTCAAGTTTGTCTGTAGAAATGCGAAGACGGGACTAGATATAAAAGTTCAAATATTGTTAAAAGGAACAGTGTATCTGATATTTGTTAATTGCGTGCCTATTCCACTAAAAATAATTAGACAATTCTCGAATCAAGTTACCTTGTGCTGGCCTGTGTTATACAAATAACTATAATCATTAGTGCCTAAGGTATTTGGACATTTCGTGCTACTTTTTAGTTTGACATGTGTTGCATTACGGGAATACATGGAAAGAAGATATTTTGATGTGCTTGCTTTCTTAGCTTGCCCCCAATTTTTACACCTTTCTGAGAAGCGGGGAAAGTATAGATATGCTCCTCTACACATTTCCTTAGCCTGTCTCTAACTTTCACATCGTGGCGAGAGGTAGGGACATAACGATGCCGATACCTTATATTAGCATGTCTTGTAAAAAGTCTCTTTTTCATTCGGCAGTTTGAATATACTCACAAAATATTCGTGAGAAATAACATAAACTTAGAATGATCAATTTTGCCAAATCATTTTAATGATAAATATGATACACACACTGACTGTATTTATATTTATTCATCTGTTGTACATCATGCGATCCTGGTACCTCTGTGAACACATATTGAATATTCTTAAAAGCACCGTATCTCAAAATCATGCAAAATACGATGTTGATCTATATCATCCTCAAAAACCTTTCCCCAAGAAAATTGAAAAGACCATAGTGTTCTTGATATAACTCCAAATGCACTGAATGCAAAACATAACTTGACAAATCCATCTGCAATTGTACTCTGTCCAATTGACCAACATAACTTTCATGTTTCCCTAACTTTTAAGCATCGCAAAGCCAAACAGGTTTAAAAAATAAGCTAATATTCGAGACAAGTCTCCTATTCAATGTATACCTCTATATTCTTGTGCGATATGATATGCAAAGGTCTTCTGTAATACCTAACTGTTATGATTGTCCAGCTTGTATATCTATAAGGCTGGGATCCGTAGAGTCAACTATCGGAAATTATCGTGGTCATTACACGGAGTCACCCTGGCGGGCAAAGAGCTTTTTCTTTTGCTTGGATTAAACAACGGCTTTCCATTTGAATGTGAAGTGTAATCAAACATTTTGATATCGCCCCAATTGCTGACTATTTGTGAAAAGATTGCCTCTGATTTTTCCACTCATCTTTGACCAGACGTTAATGAGCTCGAGCATATAAATGATGGGTCACTCTATGTATTTAACGCCAGGTCATCAGGGTTAGGACAGTGGTCATCATGAGGTAATGTTTGATATAGGTTCGCTGTCACATGGTGAATAATATCAGCAAAGAAACATTTGGGGTCAACATAACTGGACTTGGTTTACCATTCGCGCCGCTAACCATGTATAAATGTGTACATGTATAGGTCCGTTGATATCATGTGTAATTGTCAAACATATTACACGCCAAACTGTCAGATCAATACATAAAATTAGATGAAAATAAGTCAACTCGGTGTATTGAAACACAACTTGTATTAGACAAATAGTCTTCTCTGAGTTCATACAAATAACACCATTGTGGTTTTGTAGATATAGAACCTCTCTTGTAAATGTGACTTCGTCAATCGGATAATCCATAAATTGACTTACATCTTGTGTGATTGTTACATTTGTATAACGAAATCCAACTGGATTCGAAGGAATTCTATCAGCAACTTAAATATTAACAATGATTCTAACTTGAAAGGCAACCGTGGTAGATGTTTCTGGCACATGTGGTAGCCCTGTGGTTTGTGGTTTCAACTACACAGTGTTCGTTATGAAAAGTCATACCGCAATATTAAATTTTGTGTCACACATATATGATGAAAGGGAAAGAACATACGTTACAAGAACCACGAACATGATGTGGTGAGTGTTGTAAACATTCTTGATTTTCTTCAAAATAATCTTGAACAATCGATATCATAATATAATAATAATTGTACATGTATTGTATGCATTCTAATAATTCTGTTATTTTCTGTTATTCATTTATACATTTTGTAATAGTTATGTAGATATTGCGTCATCAGTGTAGTATTATATCAAAGATAATTAATACACTGATGGATAGTGTTAATTAGCTTGTTCACATTCTTTTAACAATTGTTTTAACGTCACTACAAAGTAAATATACTATAGGTTTAAAAACTTACAGAAAATATGCACCTAACGAAATCAGTGTCACATGTCATGGCATTCCAAATATTCTATTAGATTGTTATCTGAAGACACCTGTTTGATCACGTATATGTACTTACATATTGATTATAATTTCCATTGACTTAAGGTCACGATAAAGCTGTACCTTGTAGATAGTGGGCGTAATAACGAATTGACAAGTTGGTGTGCCGATATCATATTTCATACAGATCAATCTAGCGGCCATTAATCGGTAAATTCATGCGTAAGATCATAAAAAGAAAAATGAAGCTATTAACAAGCCACCTTAACATGGTTCAGAATGTACCAGTTTCACAATAACGTGACATCATGTCTGCTCGATGAATTGTTCAAGTGAGTGAGTAAAAATATTGAACTCCTCGGGTATATATATATGCTATAAAAACAATCACTTAGTATGTCATCATTGTATCAACAGTGCTTCAGTGCGTGCTAACAACGCATCCAGTGAAGCACGTCGATACGTGATTCAAGGCAAAGACACGACGCGTCAATTTAATGATTATAAATCAGTGTCAAGAGCGCATTGTTTTCACGTGGTTGGTTACACAACTGCAGCAAACGCTCATATGAGAAATTATAGTGCATTTGTCCTGTGATCAGATGGTAAAAGATTTTGGGCAAAAAATATTGTTTTTTACAACACAGGTCATTTGTAAACAGCGGTGACAAACGGGGTCTATTCAAATGTGTTGTAGGGATTCAAGTTCCCCGGGTGTACTAAAAAGCAATTTTGGCCACGTCTCTATCCGTACCAAAGAATGCAAAGGAAATACTTGCTCTTTTTTGTTTGGATGAGGCCCCCCCAGACTGCACTTTTTTAAGGCTTCTTCACATCGGCTGCTAAAACCCCTTTGTAGTCGCGTCAAGACATTTGAGGTTGTTTGACGTTTCCCATGTAGACTAACCAGTTGTCGAGCATGTCCCTTTGTAAAATGCAAATCCAGTTGTTCCAGTCTTTGATATCATTCAATGCGGCATTAGTAGTAATTACAAACAGTCTTAGATAAGATGGATTGAAGATTTGTTGAAGTATTAAGGACGATGACGTTATATCACTTTGCTATTAGGCTCAGATCAGCTTGCTTAGAATTCAAATTCCTTTCTTGAATCCTATGGAGTGGTTTCATTAGGTGCAGTGTTCATATCGTTTGTGAATTTACAAATATACAAGGGGGATAAACAACTTTAAAGTCAACGGCGGATCCAGCATTTTTAAAAGGGTGTGGTGTGTGGGTGGGTTGGGTGGGGTTGGGTGTGGGTGTGTGTGTGTGTGTGTGGGGGGGGGGGGGGGGGGGGGCGGTTAAAATATCAAAATCCTCTCGCAGATAATTTTACTGTCTGCAACTTACTACATTTGATTTAAAAATAAAATTAAAAAATGTGTGCATGTGTGTGTTAGTGGTGTGGGGGGTTGGGATGGAGTGGAGAGGGGGCGGGGGGCCGCCCTGGATCCGCCACTGTTAACCACATGCATATTTTACTACCACACCTTTTACACATTTTTGAATTACATGTACAGGTTTTACTGCGTCCAGTATACATGAACGTGATCATATAAGTAAAATATGTGATACTTAATTTGACAGTTATTAACGTGCGTTATTAACGTTTAGTTAGATACATAAAGTTTGTGTTTGTAGGTGTTTAAGCGAACGTTCTATGTATTGTTTCGTTTTGTATTTCAGTCGAGAACTAAGTCACCCTTTGAAATAAACTATCCCAATAGTGTATGTACACACACATCATATCCCTACACGACTTACCTGAAGTCTTCTAATTGAAGACATTACTTGTGTGTGCATGTTTCTCAATCTATATTCGATGCCGAAAATTGCACACAATTTAAAAAAAATATCGTGAAAAGTAGAGAATATTTACATCTACTTTAATGTAAATACAAACAATTGATCTGTTTACGTTGTCCCAATGTATCAACAATCTACAGTTAACTCTTCTTTATACAAAAATCGATTGGAAGAAATATCAAAAATATATTTTCATCTATATTTCTCAAAATAGAGATCCTCTTTTCCGCTGAAAAACATGGAATTGTCACATTGGATAAATACATGGGTGCGTTAACCCCTTGTCGGAACAAACACCTATCTCAAGCCTCTTTAATCGAAATGCGGACGGTAAAAAATCTAAAAGTTAAATATCTCCCATTGATCTACCATGTTAGAACGTGTTGGGTGTTCATTTGAAGTGCATTATTTCTCATTTCTTAGTAATTACTGTGTAAAT